AGCATCAGAGGAGCAGGAAGGCTGATGTTTCGAAGAAGGCCTGAAACGTCAGCCTTCCTACTCCTCTGATGCTGCTTGGCCTGCTGTGTTCATCCAGCTCTACACCTTGTTATCTCTGTAGAGTTCATGATCTGATTGTCAGGAGAAAACAGAATTAAAATGATGTTTTGGGTTTTTCACACAATGTTCAACTTTGCCAGCATTAACTGGAATCACTGTAGTGTGAATGAATTAGACAGAGTGGAATTTTTAAAGTGCATTTAAAGGGAGCTTTTTGAGCCATGAGGTAGTCCTAATGGAGATGGGGCAGTGCTAGACCTGATCCTAGGGAATGAAGTTGGTCAAGTGGTTGAAGTTTCAGTGGGTGATCACTTTAGTGAAAGTGACCATAACTCTGTAAGTTTCAAAATCATGATGGAAGGGGATAAGGATACTGCAGAAGTTGGGGGAGGGCAAATTTCAATACCATTAGATAGGATCTGGCAAACATAGGCTGGGAGCAGATACTTGCAGGTGAGTCTACATTTGGAACATAGGAGTGATTTAAAAGTAGTATCATGAGAATTCAGGATGAGCATTTTCCCCTAAAAGTGAAGGGCAAGGGCAGCAAGTCCAGGAAACCTTGGATATCAAGGGATATCAAGAGTTTGATGAAGGAAAAAAAAGCAGCAAATGTTAAATACAGTGCATGAGAGGAACTTCAAAGTATAGAGTGTGTAGGAGGTGCTTTAAAAAAGGAAATTAAGAGGGCAAAGAGGGGCCAGGAAATATCTTTGTCAGATAGGATTAAGGAAAGCCCCCAAGGCATTTCATAAGTGTATTAAGAGAAAGAAGATTACCAGGAAAGAGAGGGGGCTATTGCAGCCTAAAGGCACAATCTGTGTTTGGAGCCACAAAAGGTCTTAAATGAATACTTCTTGTCTGTATTCACAGAGAAGAAAGACGTTGTTGCTGGGAATTTCATTTGGCATGCTAAGGTTCTTGAACATATTAAGATAAATAAGGAAGAGGTAAAAGGTGTTTTAGCAGGCATAAAGGTGCATAAGTCCCCAGGGCCTAATGAGCTGTATCCCGGGCTGCCGAGGGAGGCAAGAGAGAAGATTCCTGGGGCCCTGGCAGAGATATTTAACACTTCACTGGCTACAAGTGAAATGCCAGATAACTGGAGAAAGCTAATGTGGTTCCCCTGTTCAAGAAAGGCTGCAGGTATAGGCCGGGTAATTACAGAGCAGTTAGTCTGATGTCAGTGGTAGCAAAATTGTTGGAAAAAGTTCTGAAGGACAGGATGAATCAATACTTAGAAAGGCAAGGATTGACCAGGAATAGCCTGCACAGATTTGTTAGAAGGAGATCCTGTCTGGCCAATTTAATTGAATTTTTTTGAATTTTTGAAGAGGTAACTAAATAAATTGAGGAGGGTAGTGCAGTTCATGTGGTTTACTTGGCCTTCAGCAAGGCTTTTGATAAGGTCTTTCACAGAAGGTTGGTCCAAAAGATAAGAGCCCATAGATCCAAGGCAAGTTGGCAAACTGGATCCAAAATTGGCTTACATATAGGAGACAAGGGTGATGGTGGAGGGTTGGTTTTGTGATTGGAAGCCTGCTGTTTGTTAATGTCATGGATGAGAATGTAGAAGAAATAATTAGTAAGTTTGATAAGTGTGGAGTGATGTATTTTTGTAGGTCTAATAAGGGAAGGATTTGTATACAATGGTAGGTCCTTAAGGAGTACTGAGAAACAAAGGGACCTTGGTGTATAAGTCCATAGATCCCTAAAGGTGTTAGCACAGGTAGAGCAGAGTTGTATTGTAGCTATCAAATAAATTGTACTTATTGTAATTATCAACAGTTAACAGTGACAACTTTAAAAATTTAACTTTTAATTTTGTTATCTGAAGGCTGAAATTTACGTGAAGAAATATGGTTGAATTTTGATCTGTCCAATATTTGTCATAAGTCTCACTTGTCTAAACTCTATGAATAAAGGCCCAATCTCACCTCATAGCACAGGCCCTCAATTCCAAAACTAGTCTGAAGAACCTTCACCGCGCTCTCTTTGGGAAGTACATCATGCTTTGCTCAATGAGCCCAGTCCTCAGGTCATGGCCAGTTTGTGAAAAATCCAGGGTTTTTCCGATCAAATTTGTATTCTGCAGTTGAATTACTGTAATGAGGGGTATATCAGGTTCCAAGCGAACGATTGTAATAGGGGACTCTGCAGTCAGAGGCACAGCCAGGCATTTCTGCGGCAGTCAGTGAGACATCAGGATGGTCTGTTGCCTCCCTGGTGCCAAGGTCAAGGATGTCTGAGAGCGGACGCAGAAATTTCTGATAGAGGAGAGTGATAAGCAGGAGGTTGTTGTGTACATTGGTACCAATGATATAGGTAGGGAAAGGGATGAGGTTCTGCAGAAAGAATAAAGGAAACTAGGCAGGAGGTTAAAAGGTAAATCCTCGAGGGCAGTAATATCTGGATTACTACAGATGCCAAATGCTCATGAGAGTAGGGATAGGAGGAAAGAGCAGATAAATGCGTGGCTGAGGAGCTGATGCAGTGGGCAAGGATTCACATTTTTTGGATCATTGGGATTGCTTTGGAGTAGAAATGACCTGTATGAGAGGGACAGGTTCCACCTAAATTGGAAGGCATCAATATCTTTGCAGGAAGATTTGCTAGTGCAACTTAGAAATCCAAAACTTCCAAGTGTTTCCGAACAAAGAGACCTAAGGCTGCAGGTGCTTAGTTCCTTGAAAGTGGAGTCGCAGGTAGACAGGGTAGTGAAGAAGGCGTTTGACACGCTTGCCTTCATTGGTCAGAACATTGAATGTAGGACTTAGGATGTCATGTCACAGCTATACAGGTCATTGGTGAAGCCATATTTAGAATACTGCACACAATTCTGGTCGCCCTTCTATAAGAAGGATGTTGTTAAACTTGAGAGGGTGCAGAAAAGATTTACAAGGATGTTGTTGGGGCTGGAGGGTTTGAGCTATAGGGAGAGGCTGAATACGCTGGTTTTTTTCCCCTGAAGCATTAGAGGCTGAGGGGTGATCTGCCAGAGGTTTATAAAATCATGAGGGGCATGAATAGGCTGAAAAGCCAAGGTCTTTTTCCCAAGGTAGGGGAGCCAAAGCTAGAGGTTTAAGCTGAGAGGGGAAAGATTTAAGAATGACCTAAGGGGTAACTTTTTCATGCAGAGGGTGGTGTGTGTATGGCATGAGCTGCCAGAGGAAGTGATGGAGGCTGGTACAATTACAGCATTTAAAAGTGGGAAAGGAATATTTGTTCAAGAATTTGAACTATTGTAACAGGGTAAGTTTGACAAAAGAATAACAAGTTCACAGTTGAATGAGCATAACAACATCACCAGCTGTAATAAATGTGTATTTGCTAATGACCTTGGTCAAAAGGTAAGAACTGATTGAGCAACATGCAAACTAATTTGAGTGGACAAAACAGCAAAGCAGTGAAAGCTGTTTCTGAATGCAATTTCAGAAAGTGCGATTAGTGAACACAATTTCTGATTATTCTGATTTAGTTTTGCCTTTAATTATAGGAAAATAACATTATGCAGTCAATTTCCATGAAATGGGGAATTACATCCCATTTAGTTGGACAGCTGTTAGACTTGGTCCCTGCATAAAGTGGTGAAGGTAAATGAGAGGACACTATGTGATGTTGTTCTCACCATCCCACCTGCAGCCGACATCTAAGTTTCCCGCTGATTTGTAAAGAATAACTACTACGTTGTCCTTGTGAAATTACAGCCTCCCCTTGCATATAGAGAATTGAAAATAACCTTGAATTAATGTAGTATTTTCACAACCACAGAACATGCCAAATTATTGCACGGCTAATGAAAGTAAGTTGTTTTTATGTAGTGCCTTTTCATGGTTAAGCTTCAAAATGTAAATCTTAACATTAGGGAACATCTGATCTTTCCCGAGGAAGTAAGCGAGGAAGATAACAAGGATTCAAAAGTGCTTTGCCAACTTGTTTTATATAACTTTTTCTTTAGCACTAAGGGAACAAATCTGCAGCACACAACCCTCAGAAGTCAAATACTCAACTGTAAACATTTTTACCTCAAGGTTGTGTGCAACCAATAATAGGCAAAAATAATGCCTGATTAGTTGAAGCTTAGAATGTAGATTGTCAGAATTGTTCAGGCTAACTTTGCAATTGGAGTTGGTGGCAATAAACTCCAATCATAGTGATTTCTCTTGTGAAATGCTTCAAATCCAGTAATGCAAAATCCTCTGAAATTACTAGCTAACACTTTTTTCCAGAGTGGAAGCACCAATAGGCCAGATTGCAAAACTAAGAAAATTATTGTGACTTCTTTATAATTCGCCACTTAAACCACTTTGCATTGAGATATTCTGTTTTGACTGTCAATCTTCTTTGTTTCACAGGCTGTACTCCAACAAAATGTGGGAGGGCGGTGAAGGATACAGTAGTAAATCGAGAAGAGGCAGAAAAGATGTTACGGTACTGGATTTTCATTTTAAAAATGACTGATAAAATCCCTGTGATGATTACTGAAAGAAATAATGGAAAAAAAACATTAAGATTGTAATGTTGGTAAAATATATACATTACATAGAAAGCATGAGTCCTTAATTCGTTCTAAATGAGGCAGGGTGGAGAGAGTAGAAATTTAGAATATTAAGATATGGATGGCTGACATAGGAATAGTGGTAGACCTTTTAGCCCACTGAACCTCTTCCACCATTCAGTAAGATTATGGCTGATTTGTGACCTAATTCAATACAGCTGCCTTTGGCCATTGACTTGAATATCATTGATTAACAAAAAAATTATCAGATTTAAAATTAGCAATTAACTTTGCATCAGTTACATTTTCAGAAAATAATTCCAAACTTCTGCAACCCTCTCTGAGTAGAAATATTTTCTAGTGTCATTGCTGGAAGGTGTAACTCCAATTTATGGACCATGCCCACTAGTTCTAGATTCCTCAACCAGTGGAAATATTTTCCGTCATGCTACCTTATCATATTCCTTAACATCTTTAAAACTTCTACCAAATCACACCTTACTAACTTCAAGGGCATACAGCACTAGTTTGTTTAATCTCTCATCATAACTCGCAGAGTGCAAGTATCATTTTGGTGAAATATGTACTGCACACCATGCCAGGTCATTACTATTGTTCTGAAGTATGGTGCCCAGAACTGCTCACATTACCTCTCATATGCTCCAACCAGGATTTTCTAAAGCTATAACATTATGTTTGCCCCTTTGTATTCTAATCTTTGAGATATTCAACATTCTTGAAATTTTTAAAACAAAAATATTTTCCATACTTTCTTGTCATGAAATTTTCATGATGTCTGTACATGCCAGCTTTCTCCTGCAACTCTTTGGATCACCATTGTTTCTAGTTTTTCACTATTTAAAAAATGTCCTGTTCTATTATTTTTAAGCCCTACCTGGATGACATCGCATTTGCTACAGTGAAATTCCTTTGCCATTGCTTTGCCCAGTTACTAAATCTTTTAATGTTTCTTTGTCATTTTATGCTTCTATATATGCTGTCATTATATCAGTGACAAAACTAGATATGTGGCTTTTGATCCCATCATCTAAATTGTTAATGAAAACAGTGAGTAGCTGAGACCTGACATAATTCCTTGTGGGGCATCGTGAGTCACATGGTGCCAGTTGGAATACCTGCTCTTTATTCCCACACTCTCTAGCTTCTTCTATTTGCCCAGTTACTCCGTGGGGTCAAAAAAATTACCTTTGGTTTCGTGACCTTCGGCTTTCGCTAACAGCCTCTTATGAGGAACCTCTATTAAATGCCTTCTAGAGGTTATTATAAATAATATCTGTGGACATTTTCTTGTCCATCACTTCAGCTACCTCTTCATAAAATTCAATGACATTCATCTGGCATGACTCTCCCTTTAAAAATCCATTCTTGCTCTCTCTGGTCAGCTGAGAAATTTCAAGATCTTCTGTTACCTTATTCTTAGACCCTAGCAATTTTATGACAACAGACATTGTGTTAACTTGTCAATAATTCCCTGGTTTCCAACTTTCATCTTTCATAGATAACAGTGTCAAATGTGATTTTGTAATTTGCAGTAGCTGTTTCCAAACAAAGAGAACTTTGGAAGATTAGGTTTAATTTTGCTTTGTAATTTTCTCACCTACATTCTTTAAGACCCAGGGATGGAAGACATTTGGCACAGGCATGTATCACTTTTGTTTTGTGCTGTTATTTTCTTCATTAGTGTTCTTTTACTCATCAAAATTCTGGTGAGCCCCATCCCTGATTCAGTATTGTTCTCCTAGGAATGTCCACGCTTGTATCCTAGTCCAAAGAGGGACTGCCTAAGCCAGACTCCACGTTGATCTGAAAATTCCAATCTGATTTAGAATCCTGATTTCTGACCCACATCAGACAATAGGTACCCCCCCAACTCTTTGAAAGAGTTTTCTGATTAAACTTCCTGTCCAGGAGGCTTCCCAGCTAAAGCAGCGCAGTTCACTCCAGCAAGGCAGCAGCAAGTAGTTCAACACTGAAAAACCACAACCTTTTTGCGGCCCATGGTTTAAATGTCCTAAAGCTACTTTGACAGCTACTGAAAAGTAAATATGTGATGTAAGTGAGTAGAGTGGGATGGTAGAATGGCAGGTACGTGCCAGTAGGGTGCTAAGCTGTGTGGACCATAAACTGGCAGTGGGTCAGGGTTACAACTGCCAGGTGTGTGTGGGCCACAGGTGCTAGGTGGGTGAGCAGTAAGGCTGTTGGTAGATGGGAGGTGTGATAGGGTAAGTGGATAAGGCCTTATGGTGAGCCGGGGGTGATTCTGACCAGGGGAGTAATTGGGGCTGTCAAGACAAGTCCAATTGCGGAACAAAAACAAAGTTGCTGCAAAAGCTCAGCAGGTCTGGCAGCATCTGTGAAGGAGAAAACAGAGTTAACATTTCGGGTCTGGTGACCCTTCCTCGGAACTTCCGCAGTTCTTTTGGCTTTTATTTGGTTTTTATTAAGTCCAATTGCGGAATGTGGTCATGGGGTTTGGTGAGAGTTGGTGAGTCTGTACCCATCTAGTTGAGGGAGGGGACTTGGGGATTTGGGAATAGCAGGGATATTGGGGATGTGCTGAACGTCCCTGGTTTGGTCATAAGGGTAGAAGTAATGTTTGAGTTTGGGGAAAGGGGATTTCAGGTGTTTATGGGAATGTTAGGATTTATAACTGGATGGAGATCAGTGTGGAGTCAGCAGAAGGTGGTCACTTTAAGAGTTCACATCGAGCTGGAGAAGGTTTTAATCCCTTCCCGAGGTAACTGTAAAGATAAGTAGGTCAAAACTTCCTGAAGTCCCTGAATATAACTCTGAGTTTGGGACTTTTCAGAGGGTTTTATATACTGGATAATTGCCTGTCAAAAGTTTTGCCCTCCCACCAATTCCTGCAGAGTCAGCTGCCTTGGGATTTCTATATCGTTTCAACACGCAACTCTGGACAATGCTTCAATAATGACTATCTTCTGAGGCCAGTCGGAATTTGAAGAGTTGTAGAATCAAGTCTGTAATTGTTCTAGATTTGTTTTTCTCTTAAAATCTCTTCGTGTGGTTCGTTGTCCAGTACACAATGGCGGGATTGTTATATGTTTCCAAATCACTATAAACATGCAGATGCCTCCACTTATTTTGCTTGTCTCTGCCTAGTTGAAGTAAGCAGTATAAAGAAAGATCAGTGCAAACCTGTTGCTTACTACTGTGCCTGGAAGGCCAATGAAAAGACTGAAAGCTTAAGTAACTAGCATGAATGTAAAATAAAAGCAAAATGAACAAGTCGTCAAAAGGTGAACAACTGTAAGCTGATGGTTAACTTATTGTCATTGGATGTTGGAAAGGGAGAATAAATTGCTGAAAACATAATTGGAGTGCATTCCAGCTGTAGTAATGTTTGCATTTTTGTGTATTTTTAATTGTTATGGATTTTCTTGTTAAAATCACTGCATTACACTTCCCACTGTGCTGGGCTGCGTTTCTAACTTTCATGTTGCTTTGTTGAAGGATAGTACTACTCTCATTCAAATGATTCAACACAGAAAAGTTTCTTAGTGCTGCAGGAGGGGTTAGTCTACTTTATTTATTAATTAGAAACAGGATGGATTAAAAGTCTTAAATACTGGAAGAAAAGGCATCTACACTAATGAAATCTGATTTGAATTATGTCTGTTTACTTTGTGATTTATAATGTGGTTTATTTGTTGAAATGGAATACCGGTCTTTCGTCAAATAACTGGAATTGAATCTCAGTTTTCAATTACTCTTCAATGTATTTGAGGACAGCGGTATCAGGAGTGTTCTAAGTATGTGCAACACTTGGTGAATTGGGCTTAATTTTCTAGATCATACTTGGTACATAAAATGCCTTACATTTGGTGTGAAAATAGAAATAATAAAACAACTTTGGACGTTACAGTATTGAATGAAGAAAATTGTTCAGGCCAATTGCTTTCATCCTTTACAGAATTCTATCAATGCCAATAGTTTCTTGAATATGGCCAGTAGTCTTCTCCTCAAACACGTTTTCCTAGCAATTGATGAACATTTCTTAGTAAGTAGTTACTTAGACAATATTTAAAGAAACCCTATCCTAAATTAGATCTTTGAGGTTCTGAATCTTTCCCCTCTTATTCAGCTTCCCTGCCATATCCAGAAGTATTAATCTGGGTAAGGTTCTCATATCCTGGCTGATGCTTAATGTGAAAAGTTTGGTTAATCCTTATCAAGATACTGCTGCTTTCAAAACTGGTTTTGATATTGTTTAATTTTTTTTTCTTCTGAGGATATTGATGTGACACCAGATTCTGAAATGATGTCAGGATTTACAGCAAGGATCTACTTATTGAGTTTGTCTTTTTCATTTGCATTTTAAACATAGCAGTCCAATAATGAAGGAAATGTATTCTCCTTTTGAACCTCCATAATTTGGCTATACTTCAGAAACATTTTAATGAATAAGCTTTAAGTGATGTTTTAAAATTCTATCACAACATCAATGAGAGCCAAGGAGACAGAGGGTTATGTTAGAGTGTTGTTTTTTTGGACTGCAGGCCTGTGACCGGTGGAGTTCCACAGGGATCAGTGCTGAGTCCTCTGTTGTTTTGTCGTTTTATATAAACAATTTGAATGAGAACATAGGGAGTTGGTTGGTAAGTTTGCAAATGAAACCAAAGTTGGTGGTGTAGTGAACAGTGAAGAAGGTTATCTAAGAGTACAACAGATCTTAATCAGCTGGGCCAAGGGGCCAAGGAGTGGCAGATGGTGGATAATTTAGATACATGTGAGGTATTGCATTTTAGTAAGGCCATCCAGGGAAAGATGTACACAGTTAATAGTAGGGCCCTGGGGAGTATTGTTGAACAGAGAGATTCAGGGGTTCAGGTACATAGTTCCTTGAAAGTGGTATCACAGGTACACAGGGTGGTGAAGAAGGCATTTGACATGTTTGCCTTCATTGGTCAGAGCATCGAGTAAAGGAGTTGGGACGTAGTTGCGGCTATACAGGACATTGGTGACACCTCTTTTGGAGTACTGCGTACAATTCTCGTTGCCCTGCTGTAGGAAGGATGTTGTTAAATTGGGTGCAGAAAACATTTACAAGGATGTTACTGGCACTCGAGGCTTGAGTTATAGAGATAGCCTGGATAGGCTGGGATGTTTTTCCCTGGTGCATAGGAGGTTGAGGGGTGACTTTGTAGAGGTTATAAAATCATGAGGACCATAGATAAGTTGAATAACGACATCTTTTCCCTTGGGTAGGGAGTTCAAAACTAGAGGATATGGGTTTGAGGTGAGAGGGAAAAGATTTAAAAGAGACCGAAGAGGCAAATTTTTCAAACAGAGGGTGGTGCGTAAATGGAATGAACTGCAAGATGAAATGGTAGATACCGGTACATTTACAACATTTAAAAGATATTTGGACAGGTAGAGGAATAGGAAAGGTTTAGAGGAATGTGGGCCAAATGCAGGTAAATGGGACTAGTTTAGTTTGGGAAACCTGGTCGGCATGGACAAGTTGGACCAAAGAGCCTGTTTCTGTGCTGCACAACTGCATGACTCTATAACTTTGTATATTTCGTAGCACATGAATTTTGGTTTGGGTTATACCAAGTATAAACCAATTTTGCAAATATACTTTTAGCTCATTCTGTCAGAATTGCTTCCTATTTTAAACTGCTATGGAGCATATCTAACCCCAGTAAGGACTGGTTGAGGAAAATTTGCTTCATGGTTTTAGTAATTTAAATTTGTCGGCTTATTTTATCTTGTATGTATTTCACTCTCTGGGCAGTAACAGGTACGTGCTGCACATGCAGATGACTGTGGCCATAAGCATTGTTACTCTATAGTTGCTAATTAGAGCAGACAGCCAGCTATTTGACCCCTAATTGCTCCGTTCATGTTGTGACTTCTAAGACAGCATTTCTGACAGCATGCTGACTCCGACATAAATTACTGTAATATGTAGAGTTTGTAGCTACATTAGAGGAAGTAAATTACTCCACTTAGGGAGCGCTGTCAACCAAAGGCAGAAATACACTTCCATGAGCCACGTGTGAAAAGAAGAGTGAATGGGAATTGACAGGCCTGCAGTCTGCGTTGCCAGTGAAGTGTGAGGCTCTGCAACAAGTGATAGAGATGGGAAATCCCAGCTGGGAATTTTGTTGGGTTTTCTAGGATTGTTTCATATACCCCTTTCTCCTTACAAGGACATATCAGCGCATTTGGTCATATATCCTTTATTCTAAGACAAAGAAGCAGGGGGATCTCCGATTAATATTTTTTATTGAAGTTAAAGTTGCCATAGTCTTCCAGGCCGTAGGGCTGCCCTTTCATTAGAAGCAGATGACGATTGGTGGTCTTAACCTGAGGGTAACTTTGCCTCAGGCGAAGAGGAGAGGTTAAGATGGAGAATCTGTCATTAACCTCTGTCAGTATGGGAATTGAACCCACACTGTTGGTGTCACTACGTCGCAAACCACCCATCCAGCCATCAATGATAGAATAAAACCCTTCACAAGTAGTGTTTGTGAAATTGGTACAGATTATAACTGGCAGGAGACTCATCATCAGGGAACTGCAAGCGTATCATCTTGACCGCTTATAGGAAGATTAGGTCACTGTCCTCAAGGGGTCTACATTGTATCCTTCATAAAGGTAACTATATATGATAAATGTGGGAATTATATTGTCTGTCTGTGTGAATACTATTGATACTTAAGAAAATATCTTGCATATACCTTAGGGTATGGTTAATTTCTTTGGGTCTCCATCTCATTAGAACTAAATCATCATACATTTTAAAATGTATCATAAAAATTTACAGCTTTAAGCAAGAGAGTTCACTTCCTCCTCCAGTCCCTTACTGCCAAAAATGCACTTTTGTGTTCAGTATTCAATCATGTTACTGAAGAATTATTGGATATAGTTTCATGCCCCGCTGTATTCCATTGTACTTCCTTTCAGGTTACTTGTCATACTTGAGGCCATTGGGTTTCAGACTTCACAAAGCAACCTAAACTGGTGATGTGACCCCAAAACAGTAATAACCATCCTAAAATTGACAGTAATAAAATAGAATTCAATTTAGTTGTCTTGAAGCAGCCAACCTAGCCTTTATTCATGATTGTTCTTCAGTTGTACGTTGCTTTTAGGGCTGTGTCAATTCTTTTTGAAGCCTTTTGTCAGAAATTTCTGAAGAAGGGTCTAGGCCCGAAACGTCAACTTTCCTGCTCCTCTGATACTGCTTGGCCTGCTGTGTTCATCCAGCTCTACACCTCGTTATCTAAAAAAAAAGATATCTGTACTTTTATCCGTAGATTTGTAGATTGATGATGGGCTTGACTTAAAATTGGCATTTAAAAAAAGTCTTATTAATAATGCACGGAACTTGACCATTTGTTACAGCCTAAACTTAAATATTTAACAAAAACAAAGTTGCTGGAAAAACTCAGCAGGTCTGGCAGCATCTGTGAAGGAAAAAACAGAATTAACGTTTCGGGTCCGGTGACCCTTCCTCAGAACTTTTGTTTTTTATTAAATATTTAACATTGTGTTTAAAAATACTCTAAAATAGCCTCACCTTCTGGATTATCTGAAAGTTGTTGTATTTCAGTTCCTCCATTCAGTTTACTGATCTTAATAAATATATAATATTAGCAAACCATCCGTGGCACTTGGACACAATGTCCATCATTAGAGGTGATTCTGCAAATGGACAACATTCATTAAATAATCATAGAATCCCTACAGTGTGGAAACAGGCCCTTCGGCACAACAAGTCCTCACTGACCCTCAGAGCATCCCACCCAGACTCATCCTCCTATAACCCACCTAATCTACACATCCCTGACCACTATGGGCAATTTAGCATGGCCAATCCATCTAGCCTGCACATCTTTGGACAGTGGGAAGAAACCGGAGAACCCAGGGGAAACCCACGCAGACACGGGGAGAATGTGCAAACTCCACACAGACAGTTGCCTGAGGGTGGAATTGAACCTGTGCCCCTGACACTGTGAGGCAGCAGTGCTAACCACTGAGCCAGTGTGCCACCCCTAAGTTCTGTATAATTTTGTACGGCGTGGATTAATAGGAATTAGGAGAGGAGTAATTTCTTTAGATTAGCACTGAACACAGTCACTATATAAAGTGGTATTTTCTGTCTTTTTTTTTTAGCTTTTAACCTTCTATGGTACTGTATCACAATAGTTATGTTCCAGAATCATTAATCCTAGACTAGTAATCTTGAGAATTTGAGTTAAAATCTCAGCAAAGCTGTCAAAAAAATCTGCAAAATAGAGTGTTTCTATCTGTAATTTAATCATGCCTTTGAGGGAGAGAAACCTATTGTCTATATATGATTCCTTCATGGCAATGGGCTTCACCTATTTTGTTGAATTGTAATAGGCACAATCTGTGTACATTTCCTTTCTGACTGCAAAGACTGCTGTGGTTTATCTAGCTTCCAGCACATGCAAGGGTGCCACACTGCAAGTCCCACTGACAGTCCTGAAGTAGTTGTCAGTGAAATTCTTCACTTACTCAAAATAATTTACCAAACCTAACCTCCTACCCCTTGTGTATTTCTGATACGGAGTTTTATACATTTAGTATATGTGAATCTACAGCTGCTTGTAAGAATTTCTTTACATTTGACCAGGCTCCATCCTGTCCTCAAATTCACCTTCGAAATGAGACACTTGAATGACCTGTGTTTCCTTGATGTGCCAATTGAGAAATTGGCAGAGGAAGTTCTTGACTACTGTCTACTGCAAACCTACCTCCAGTGATCAATATAGCATTGGGATGCCTACAGTTCCACACACTATGCGATTGACCTTACTGACAGCTTCATTTGTTCACTGTGGAAGCTTGATGCTGAAATAAGGCACATCAAAGCCATCCTCTTGGATAATGGCTACGCTGATAAGATCACTTCTTGCTGTATATCACTCAAACGCATTATATGGCTTAAAGCCATCCCTTATGCTCCTAAAAACTGTCTTGTCCACCTCAAATAACCCTGTTTTTCAAGGGTTTGAGCAACAAATGAAGCTAGTTGTATAACACTGCTACTGTGCAGCAGCAATGTGAGTGATGTTCAGTCCTAATAGAATGCTGTCATCAAGCCAAAAAGACATTCTCCATTGCACAATGAATAATGTGGTAGATGAATTTCAGTGCCGGTATGATGAATGTGGGCAATTTATTCAAAAGATTGGTGGATCGTATTAAACAGCATGTCCTTTCAGCTGTTTGTAAGCAAGGTACTGATCAAATTAGTCCATGTTTGCAGAACTCACAACACAATGTCCATCATTAGATGTGATTTTGCAATTGGACAACATTCCCTAAATATTTCTCAATGTGTGAAGAATTATGCTGACAATCAACTTGGGACTGCCATTAATCTGCATTCTTGATCGTGGGAATGTAGTCACTTGTTGGCTAGGACAGGCATATCGTGTCTAGTGCAAGTCACTTTTAAAGGATATAATTCCAGTGGATTAGTTTCCACAGCAAATTCCCAGCTCCCTTGCCAAACCCTTTGTTTGCACACACTCACCCTAGAAATTTCAGTCTTATTGACTCAGATCTTGTGTTTTTCTTCATTATTTCGTAAGGCTATTTTATCAAGAAAATTTTCAGTATTCATATTTTCTAGCACAGGTTCATTAAGAATGGATTTACAAAGAAGTGGTGGATTATACCTCCTTTGTACATTTGTTGAAGAATTGTTAAAGAAACTGTTAATCTTGACCTTGACTCAATTGAATGTAGTATTGACCACACAGAATTAACTAACGTAAGTCTGTGAATAGATATATACACCGAGCCAGCATTCCCATGATTTTAAGAGTAACTTTACAGACTCAAACTTTATTTTTAATTTTCAGTATAGCAAAGAAAGGGCTGTCCTTTGGAGGATCAGATGGTGGGGTAAGTGATTTTCTTTTACTTTTCATGCTTAAGTAACAATAAAAACAGCGCCTTTGCTTTATACTGTGGTACTCAGTAATCTGTTCAGGGGCATTTTTATTTGGATACCAAATTCAAGGTTGTTTTTAATTCCAGATTTTACACACAAACACAGGAGTCTGGTATACTGGCTGTGTGTGGTATACACAGTAATCTGGAAATTTCTGGGGTGGAGCATTGTCCAGCTACATAAACCATTCTCCCCACCCTTCAGCTTGAACAATTTACAACTCTAAGGAATGAGCGCGCGTTCAGCACCGTGTTGGCACAATGGCTGTGAGGAGCTAAGGGGATAATTGGGAGTTCATGAGTTGACAAGAAGATGACACAGGGCTTGTAGGTGGCCACTGGAATGTGTGGGGCAGGTGGGTGGGTGCCATGAGTTGGCTTTAAATTGTCTTGGGCCCGGAGGAACATGATTTGTAATGGAATGGATGAGTGGCCATTGGGCATGAGTGGGCATACATAGGTTGACGTGCAAGGTTTGAGGATCCACTGGGGAGGGGAAGGTAAAGATTGGCATGAATCAGGCATAGGGAGTAATAAGGGCGAGGAGTGCCTGGTTGAGGACCTAATACTTTTAAAAGCATCTGGAATGAATTCCTATAGAACTGAGACTTTCAAGCAGCTCACATGGCATCTGGGTGTGGTAAATCTGACTGTCTGTCTCCAAAACCTGCCATTCGTGAACAAAAACTGTCCCATTTCAGGCCATTTCCTGAGGTGGTTGTGCTGATTCGGGAAATTTCCTGATTTGAGCCAACCTGCTTTGATGGTGAAGGTCTGGCCCAATGATTCAGGTCTGTAGTACATCATCACAACAATTTTTGCTCTGTTTCTCTTCTTATAGTTGCTCTTTAATCTATTGAGGAGTTTTTCTGCTCATTTTTCTTCTTCTGCACGGACCTCTGAGGTACCTGCATGGCAGCGCCTTCCAGAACCGTCAGTGCTGCTGATGTGGACCCTTGGAGTAGTTAAACATACTGTGCAGCTAAGAGGGCCTGCCTAGCATTTTCTGTTTTTATTATTGTGTGCCTCACGTCCCCTTCATATGTATCAGTGAAGACAGAGTACTCCATTCATATGGCTGTGAAACAAAATGTGATACAAACAAAGAGCCCTTCAAGAAAACCTCCTGCAAGAGAAAATAATGAGGAACATTTTGGTGAAATAACCTAATCAACAATAGTTACCTTATGGAGTTTGTATTAACATTAACAGCACCTCAATATTCTTTGGTCCCAAGGACCAACTAAAGAATCTGGGTATGAGATCCAAATGAGCATTCACTGTGGTTAGACTCAAGATAGCATTACTTAACAGCAGACTCCTAGAATGAGTCCTAACCATGTGCCATCCAGCAGTGGTCTCAGAGTGGTGCTGTGGCTGTCTTGGCTATAACTGATGACAAAGGATCATTGGACTTTCTCTTTCCCTTCATGTCTTTAAGTCTTTCATTCTGATGCTAATTTTTACCTTCCTGGCAATCTGAGAGTAGCTTGTTCTTCTCTGTTTGCACTTCACTCAACATGAACAGATAGCCAACTTATTACTTCTCTCCCATGCTCAAGTCATTCCAGCCTGTGTTTACTGCATCCTTCTTCTCTTCCCTTAGCATTCATTATGACAGTTGTGACTTTCGTCTTTGGGTGAATCTATAAGCATGCAGGCTCTGAAAGAAACCAAACTTATAACTGACACCACTATTTCTTCACATTGGTTCTCATTCTCAATTTGCTTACCAATCCTCAGGCACTTTTTTGCCAGTTTCAAAGTTCTCAACTTCTTCTATTTCTTCTGCTTCTCACTGAAAGTCTTTGTTTCTTTCTTTGTCCGTAGTAACTTCTTCGCTGGGATCACATCCCCCTCCTTCTTTGCTGAACCTCTACTCACAACAGAATTTCCATTGATTGTGATCTAAGTTTCCCATCGCCTCTCTCCTGTGACTTCTCTGGTATGTAGTTTTCATTCACTATCCAAACTAACTCCATGTATCCTTAATCTTGCCAAGTCGAACAGTTCTGTGTCAGCCCTCTTTCAGGAAATGAAATTGGGAGCTATGTCAGGGAAATGATCAGCATGGGTGGGGGGAGAGTAATGTAAAGATGTAAAGGACATCAAATAGAGAGGAGAAGGGCTAGTGTGAATATATCTATCAGCGTAGGAGGATGATGGCAAATAGAGTGTCAAAGTTTAAGAGTTTGAAAATGCAGTTGTACCTGATTCAGGGGAGATTTTGTTTCCATGGTGTGAGCAAAAAGAAATGGATTGGATAAGAGTGGAGGTCTCAGTGTAGAGAAAAGGAAATACTCTGATAGGATTTTGTCGGTGACTGAGTCACTGGATGTGGAGAGGACATAGAATGCAGAGTTGAGTCAATGACAGTGGAAATTCAATTTATATGAAAGAGGTTTTATGATTTAATTATGCAACGTGAAGTAAATTAATTATAAATTTATATTGCCCAGTGAAGGTTTTGAAATATTATGAATGGAAGTACATTAACTATTAAATAACAATCAATGTTTGATGATGAGTTACGTGTGGGATATTTGATCTATTTCAAATTCGACCCTAACAATTCCCAATTTAGTTGTTGAGCAACATAGGTTAACTGGTGAGGATAGAAATCAAATTAGAGTATGCAGGAAGTCTATTCATGTAAACTTAATTTGTCAGTATCACTGATATCTCTGATAACCTTGTTCAATTATCTTTTTGAGAAAAAGTTAATATATTTACCAACTCCCACAATGATAGGGTGCATGTTACCATTGGCTGTGAACCATTTCAGTCCAGTCATAGGCTTTGCATGAGACAACATCTGGAACATTGTGGTAGGCAGCATCAATGGTGAGAGAACAAACTAATGTTTTGAGCCTTGATGACTCTTCCTCAGAGCCATCTGGACTTGAAACACTAGCGTGCTGTCTCTCCACACATGCTGCCTGACCCACTGTGATTTCCAGCATTTTTTGTTTTCAGTACACATTCCAGCATCTGCAGTAATTCGCTCCTATCTGGACCATTGTGTTTATTTTGTCCCCACTGTTCCCAAAGGAAAGAGAATTTTAACACGGGCGATTAGTTAGGGTTGGGTAGAGACACGAGGCTAAATGAGGCAAATTTCCTGAGTGCATCAGGAAGGTGGCCCCCCCCACCACCCTTCAGTGTATGGGTTTTTCTGAGGTGGAACAAGGCATGGGCAGCCAGTCCATTCCTAGGAGGTTCATTAGCATATTATGTTTGTTAATAAGGATGGAAGCTTTGCATTTAATGTGCTTGTTGGTTAAACTGGCCAAGTTGAAGTCCTGGCTCTGAGGAAACCTGGCAGCTTCAGTCAAGTGAAGACAACTTCAGGGAGAAGACAACTGCCTTCTCAGCATTTCTTGTGGGCCAAGAGGAACAGGAATGCTCCCTCTGGGGTCATGGACTGGACATGCCCTTATGCTACACGCTTCTCTCATTGTGCTCCCCTCGGACACAAAGGCAAGACAAGATTAAGCTCTGCAAAATTCTGGACAACTGACATAGTTGGAACAATTTTAGTTTGCTAATGCACTGAAAGTAGAGGGGCCGGACATCCAGAAACACAGTTCTGCAGCCTCCAGGAGTCAACATTGCATTTAACAGCTTCAAGTCATGAACACTGTTCTCCATTTTGGTACTTACCCACCTTATTCCCGAAATGCCGCCATCGTCCCCATACCCTACCTCCACTGCTTGTATCTAACTTATGAAGGCAGTTCATATATGATTCCAATGTTAAAAATGTGATATAATAAAAAGAAAATGCTAGATAAATACAGTTGGTCTGGTAGCCTCTGTGTAGAGAGAAGTAGAGTTAATGTTCAAGTCTAGTGGCTCTTCTTTAGAGCTGAAGAGATTTATAAATCATGGATTTTATGCTGTTGAAAAGTTAGAAGAAGTGTGGGTCAGGGAAAGGTTAAGGGAGATTGGAGATCAAAGAAGGCATAGAACAAGAGACAAATGATTGTAGAGGAGGTAATTGATTGGTGTTCAGAGGAATGAGAGGTGACATTATTGAAACATACATGATTCTTAACGGACTTGGAAGGGTAGGTGCAGACAAGTTGTTTCCCCTAGTGGAAGGTTCTAGGACTGGACAGGCTCATGTCAGAATAAGAAGTTGCACATTTAAGACAGAGATGAGGATGAATTTCTTCTTTTAGATGGTTGTAGATCTGTGGAATTCTTCACCACAGAGGGCTGTTGAGGCTGGATCATTAAGTATATTCAATAATGAGATAGACAAGACCTTTTCAAATCGATATATGGAATCAAGGGTTATGGGGAAAAAAGACAGGAAAGTGTGGTTGAGGATTATTCGATCAGCCATAGTCTCTTTGAATGATGGAGCAGACTCGTTGGGCCAAATGGCCTACTTCTGCTCCTATGTTTTATGGTCTTAAAAGTGCACTACAGCAACACACCATTTTCCAAGTGGAGTGTCTCCTGCATTCATACTTATTATGAAATGGGTCCACAGTTTGCAGTTTGATGGGGGAGTCATTGAGTTTGCACAGTCATTTATTGGAAAGTTGATTCATTTTCTTTGCTGTTGCATTAGTAGTGTCTCTTTACCTGGAGAACTTTTTATGTATTGAAAGGGTTGATTACGTTTATTATATCTTGTAAGTGAAATTCAGCTGCTTTCAATGAAACACAAGGAACCAGTTGAAGTGAAATGGACTGATGATCCTCTGTTGAAATAATTTTTCAACCTATTGTCAGTTTTCCTAATCAGAACCTTCAGCTGGGCCATATATTCATGTAAGAAATTGATAGAAATGTATTGAGTTATGTTTATTTGGCCGTGGTTTATATTGTATCCCACTAACCCACCTCCAAGCTCTCCGAAACTCCAACCCATTTCCAAAATCCCCCATAAAGAAATTGAGACCAAAGACTGATTTCAGTAAGAGGGAAGCTAATGCTTA